TAAATTATGCCAATCTATACAGAAAGATTCAGAAGACTGTACAAGGGAAATGTCATGGAACGTTGATTCAGCATATAAGTCTGCATTATCCCCAGGTAGTGGTTTATGTGACATCTACGAATCCAGAGATAGGGGCAAAGTTGTGAAAGAGGACGAATTACATTTAAACGAATCCGGAAAAATAACTGATGAACAGGAAAAAGATGAATTAGGACGGGGGGGAGATTCACCAAGCAAGGATACCGTAGCAGCCGCAGATCATGTCTTGACAATAAATAAAACTATCAAAACATATAAGGAAGAAAGGACCAAAGAACGAACATTCACACACCTTAGAAATGGAAAGAATAACGATATAAAGCAAGATGACCAGTCCCTGAGAAAATTGCATTCCTTGGAAAAAGATGAAGTTCTCATCCGAAAAGGAATACTAACTGGAGTTGCGTGCACAGTCAGACAGAGTGCAGTGAAGACAAGGAAGATGTCAGGGGAAAGTAATTCTTTGAAATCAAATTACGGCTTGTCTAAGAAGAAATTATCACAGAAAAATAGCTGTTTGAGCTCAGTTGAAGTTAGCACTAGGAATAAATCTTCGAAAAGAAGTAATTCCTTGAGCATAATTGATGCAATCTTCGAAGACAGATTCTCCGAACAGGACACTTCCGTGAGCTCAGTTGAAACAATCACCATGCAGGAAATCTCGGCAGAGGTTAATACTACAAGACAGATTCATGTAGTTGAAAGGAAGGGAACAATGGCAAGAGACGATTCCTTGAGTACAAGTTCTTGCGATACTACGGAGAGAGTGTTAGTGACGAGTGGCTCACCATGCAAAGTTGGCGCAGCTATTACAGACAGAACATCAACAAGGGATGATTTTTCTAGCGCAGATGATTATAACAGTTTATATTTTTCAGGACGTAGGCGCGATGTGAATGCAAGAAGGGTGTCTAAGCAAGAAGGATCTTCTTCTTCAAGGGATGATACATATCGAAGATATGACTCATCCCAGGTATATGGCCCAAGGAAAGGAAGTGACATAGAAGCTGCAAGGAAGGTGAATAACAGGGTCAAGTCTGTCAGGAGAAGTCACTTATACTCGCAAACACCTGCGAAATCAGATTTCGATTCCCTAGATGATATAAAAAACAAGATAAAGAAGCAAAAACAAGCTGAAACAAAGAAACATATATACATAACATGCAAAAGAAATATGCAGAAGAGATTAAAGGCTGCAGCAGGCACTTATACACCGAAGGGAAAGTTTGAACAGGAAGCATATGATTATATGTATGATACAACCGCAGATAAATGTTGTGAGGAAGGTCTATGCAGAGAGGAATTTTATATAAAGAGAAGTAATGAGATGTATAAGAGAATGCAGAAAGTAAAACAAAGTTATGCATCAAAAAAGGAGCCGTCCGAAGCAGAGATTGATT